TAGGGCATCGATTGGCCCAAACTAGGACAAACCATTGTGTCATCTCTATGATTCTTGTGTTCTTGAGTCCACCCAAGCCACTGGAGACCCGTACTCTGACACTGACTCGAACAACAATGCTTGCCATGGTTCTGACCTCACAACACCTCCCTTCCACGACGTGCAGCCACTGCTACTGGGCCACTGCCTCTGGTGAACACTACACATCGATGAGCCTCCATTCTATCGAGCAGCAAAGAGATGTTGCGTTGAAAGCGCATGTTGCAAGAGTATATTTTAATTGTTTCAGATGTTTCAGAGGTATGTTGCAAGTGTTTCATATGGATGTTGCAAAAATAGATCGTGATGTTACACATGTTGCAATGGTTGTACACGTATGTTGCAAGCGTCCATTCCAAATGTTTCATCTATTTTTTAGACATATGTTGCAAGTGTGCTTATTTGGATGTTGAATATGTTTCACACATATGTTGTTGTTTGAAATGTTTTAGTGTTATGTTGCAATAAGTGTTTTCACGTTACAAGTTGCAAGTGTTTTATTTTGGATGTTGCATATATTTCACACATATGTTGCAAGTATATGTTCCCAATGTTTCATCTGCTTCAGACTTATGTTGCATTCAAGTGTTTTATGTTACAAATATTTCAGAGAGTCACCGGGGCATGGCCCGGGCTCTAGGGGAAGGGGCGCGGCGAGCCAGGGCTAGCGGATGGGGGGCGCGACGCGCCTAGGGTCCTACGGACGGGGCGTGCTCGTCCTCATCCAGGCTCTCGGGTCCTGCCCGCACGGAGAGAGAGGAGGTCTTCGGGGGGTAGGAGCGGCGGGCGCGGGGCAAGGCGAGACGGACGGGGGCGGGGTACACGTGCGTGGCGGGATGAGGCAGACGGGGAAGGACTACAGCGATACCGTGGGAGTGCGGCGCGTTCTGCTGGGCTGTTCCATACCGTCCTATGGAATCCTATCCTATCAGATGTCCAGGCACCAGCGATTACCTTTTTTGTCCTTGTTTCCTGTTAACTCCTGAAGGATCCTTCGATCATTTAACAGCTGCAGGTAGGTTAATGGTTCTGATTCCATTTGACTTTACCGTTATTCACATTGTTCCTATGCAGAATGTTATATGTGTGAACATGAATATTGGATTAAATTAATATATTTTAGCTAACCATGTTTATTTGCGGGCATGAGATATATTGTAGCGACCAAAGTGACTATATTCACTTTATATATAATATAATTTTAAACGGCTACATATTTTACATGATACATCGGATCACAACATCAAGCATACATTAATTGCTATAACTTGTCTATACAACATTGCAATGAAAAGTCCCCATTGAGAGAGTTAGTTTCATTTCTTAATCCAAGTCTGCAAATCTGACATGTTAGTTTTGAAAATAGTGAAATGAAACTCCCCACTGAGATTGGACTAACTCTTTCCTTTGGAACTGTTGCAAAGACTGGAACAGCGTGTTTGGTTAGAGAAACCATCTCATCCGGCATGGGTCCATGTGACATGAGGTGGTCTGATGAATTTTGCTGGATGACTTGGTTCCACATATTGACCTGCTACTATTGCTAAGTTGATGACGGACGACCTGGACCGGCAACCCAAACCAAACAACGCCGTAGGCTCGGATATAGGTTTGGATGGTCTAACGGACCATTCCCTACTGCAAACCAAACGGGACGTTCTGTTTTGGTTATTAAAAAAATCAAAACTTTGGGAACTTTGGGATGTCTTTTTTAAAGGACAATGGCAATCACGTGCATATTCCTTTTGGAATGTGCTCCTTATTATTTTACTATGTAATAGAAATATATTACAAATAGAAATTGCTAATCAAAGTTGTGTTATATCAATGTCCCGAAATTATATTTTTGGCTGATGGGAGTAGCAAGATCAACATCTAAATCACATGAAAACCACCCACGAAGCTCACTCTTAGGTGCTGCTGATCCTTTGGCCAATATTGTTTTACCTTGCCAAGCTAAAAAAACTGGGAGACATGTGTTTGGTTTGGTAGGCTAGCAGTCTGTTCGGTTGGCTGGTTCATATCGTTACTGGTTCGTTTATGTGAGAGAGAAGTACTGCTGGCTGATTCATATGAACAGTGTCTATGTGAAGAGGCTAGCCAGCCAGCCCAGCCAGCCAGCCCCAGCCGAACGGACTGTAGATCACCTCATAGTCTGAACGGTCAAGCTTTTTTTACCTTGCCAAGCTATTTGAGCAGTATCCATGTGATAATTTTTTTCTCTATTACATGGTTTTTATTTTTTTTCCTTTTTGATTAATTTTATTTTACCTTTCCTTTATATTTTATATGTTTTTATTTATTTTGTTTTTATTTAACTTATTTATTTATTATGTTTCTTCTACATATTTCATAGCATTTCCTCTGCATTTTTTCTATTATGTCACATATATTACAATACCATTCACATCATGAACCTAGAATTTTATTCTCTAAGATTTGAAATATTGTTACCCTAAACATAGCACATTTTCCTACGAAAACAGAACATTTTACCTTGGCTCTAGAACATTGCCTTTGCTTAATAAAAGAAAGTGTCTTTCTTTATGAGAAAACTATTTGTTAATAAAATTTGAGTAAAATGCATGTATAGTTCATTAACTTGTAAGGCTGTGTCGATTTGGTCCATCAGCTTTGAAAGTGTTTTTAGTCCAAAATCTTGATTATTGATGTATAAAGAGTACATACCCCTTTGTTTTATGTTTTCTGTCTACGTGGACAAGCCACCGTGGCAGCTGAAGTGTTCGTCAGCGCGCGTGCAGCGCACGTGACCGTGCTGGGCCACGTCTTTTTAGCAGATAGGCCCCTCAAAGCCGTGTGCCTCTCATTCCCTAGTCCTCCCCCTCTCTCTTCATCTCTCTCTCCCTCCCGCATCGCAACGGCGGCGTAGGCGAGCACGGTCCAGCGGCGGAGGCGACCACGGTGTGGCTGCGGAGGCAGATCAGCGTCCACGAATGACGAAGCAGGGAGGAGGTGCTGCCACGCGGGCTACTTGGCGGCGACGCTGGCGGATCTACGCCAGTGGTGGCAGTAGGCACGGGTCTCGTTCCCTTGATCACTTGCAAAGAGTGCCATCGATTCAAAGTGGTGAGGCGGGTTTTGAAGCAACCCTAGAGTGCAGGGGATGTGTTCTACTGTTGCCCAGCCACAAGGTAAGATTGATATTCTTGTTGTGCATTTCTCTGTTTATTTGGATCCTTGGCTACTGATTCAGTTTTGGTGTCGTGTAGAGCAATGGTGAAGGCTGCCCTTTCTTTAGGTGGGAGAATGAGTACTTGAAGCTCCTTCAGTCCAAAGACTTGGAGCAAGAAGATGCAGAGTTGGTTGCACAGTACAATAACCACATGAAGATGAAACAACCTGCCTGTAGTTTGGTGATTGAACCTGATCAGAGCAAGGAAGATAGGACAGTTGTAGTAGTATGGAGTGAACTAATTAAACTCATGAAAATTCAGTCTTTGTTGTCTCTGTGTATCCTATTAGTTCTGGTGGTGAAGGTGTTTGTGATGTTGACGAAGTAGTGATAAAAACTGATGTATCTAAAGTTGATGTTCACTTGTAAAATTGTTATCATCTATCCTAATTAATGAACTCCAGCTTTGCTGTAATGGTTACTAATAGTATTATGGGTCTGTTTGGTTGGACTGTGAGCTGTGGAAAAGCTGCTATGGGCTGTGAGCTGTGAAAAAGCTGCTGTGAGCTGTCAGCTGTGAGAAAGCCGAAAGCCGTTTGGTTGAAACAACTGTGAGACTGTAGGTTTGGCAAGAAAAGTCTGTAATGCCCCTAGAAGGTATGAGGGACCGTTGATATAAAAATTGATCGTAAAACACTGTGTTGTTCACTTAATCACATGTAAATTACCATTTTAGAAAGGAAAATTTATTTTTTTTAAATTTTGCAACCACCATTACCATATTGTCCACATGAATACAAAGATAACATTTGACAAAAGATATATGGTTCATATAAATGTCCACCATTAACATATGGTCCACATAATTATCTCCCTCTCGTCTCAACCAAAGCATCAGCTATTCTACTGCGAATGGTACTCATCGTATCCTCATTCTCCCCATCTGGACTCTCATCTCCTTGTGTTTGGGTTGTGCCACATGTCTCTTTTAGTAGGTAGTCCTCATCAGCATCACATCTATTGAACACTTTATCATGCAAATTGCTCTCACGAATAAAATTATGCAATGCCATGCAAGCAAGAATAATATGCTTATGAGTACGAGTGGAGAAACTTGGCATGTCCTTCAAAATACGCCACTTCTGCTTCAACACTCTGAAAGCCCGCTCAATGACATTTCGAAGGGATGAACGCAAAAAATTGAAAATCTCGTACTTCCCTTGAGGAGGATGCCCAGAACGAAGCCAGAATTCTGGTATGTGGTATGTGCTTCCTTTGAAAGGGGCAAGATATCCTAGTCGGTTTTGATAACCAGAGTCCACAAGATAATATTTTCCTACAAAACCAAATCAAATCATCAAAGGAAAACAACAATAGAACTATTACTAACTCTTAACCAACAATGCATACCTTTGGGAGGCACGGGAAATGAAAGAAAATTCGCTAATGCATGATTGAGGATCTGTGTGTCATGTGCAGAACCCGGCCAACCAGCAACCGCAAAGATAAACCTCATATCAAAGTCACAAACAGCTAACACATTCTAAGATGTATATCCATGTCGACATGTGTGGTTAACCACTTCCTCTACTAGAACGACAACTTTAACATGTGAACCATCTATAGCTCCAATAGCGCCTTTGAAATTAAATGAAATAAAGGGTTCATTAGCAAGTGACACAATATGAAAGCATTGAAAATGAACAATGAATAATGACAGTAAAGTGCTTACAACTAGGTGTTCATCCCACCATTCCTTAGAGCACTCAACAGTTCGCTTTGCCTCATTCCATCCAAGCCCAGTTGCACTATTCTTCAACTCCATAAATCATGTATATTCCTTTTTCATATTGTCCCACTTGTTCTTGAGCTGTTTCTTTGTTAGCTTCTGACCAGTTTTTTCTTCATGCTTAGATATAACATTTTTCCAACCAGTCCTATTAAAAAATCCCAACGGCCTATTCCCAGCTTCTATCTCTCCTTTGCAGATATCAATAAAATGCCTCACATTGGCATCACACCAATCTGCCTTATCAGCCATTCTTGAATGAAGAAAAAAACCTTTGATTCAATTCAGTTACCATAACATGACTACGAGTATCACACCAATTTATGCAGTGATCAGTACTAGAAGGAAGAAGTACCCATTATGCTGCGAAGGAAGACGGTCTGATACTTCTACCACCCAAGAACTAGTGTCTATCTCTATACTCTTGTCCTTCAATTCATCCATGATATATCTAGTCTGACACAAGTATATTTCATAGACTCGCCTTAAATCCTGACTCACGCAATCTCATCCACTCGAGTGCCTGCAGATCCGGGGCTACCAGCCATGGATTTGCACCACCATCGGCTCCTGTAGCTTGGTCCGGGAAGGAGACGAAAGGGGCAGCCACTAGCATGGCCCCAAGAGAGAGGTCGGCGACGTCCGCTAGAGGCGGTGGCCCGCTGCGACAGAGAGAGGGCGGTGAGGGCCCGCTGCAATGAAGAAAGGGCAGCGGAGGCCCATTGGCGACGGTGATAGGGCGGTGACGTCCCGCTATGACGAACAGGACGGCAGCGGCCCGCTATGACGAAGAAAGGGCGGCGGCCCTACGGGAGGAAGAGAGGGCAGAATGCGCACTTGCCGAGGAGGAGCGGCCACTGTCGCCGACGACGAAGGAAGCGCCACCGCCGGCCCATGCGCTAACCCTAGCGCGGCCTACGATTGTGGATAGAGGAGAGCGATGGTTCTAGACCAAGAGAAAGAGAGGAGAGCGATGGAAAATATCAAGTTGGTACGTTGTAAAGAGTGTCAGGCGGGTAATTTGGTGCAAAACCAATCCTTCACAGCCGGTGAAAGCTGGGTAGAAGGTGCTACGGGAATACAACATCACATGAAGCTGCTTTTTGTTGAAGTACTGCGCTATCTTCGCACGCTTTGGTTAGCTTTCTACTTTTTGCGGTAGCTACAACACTTTAGAAGTCAAACCAAACAGACTCTATGAGTACTCTAGTATTATTGTCACATTATATCTAGTTAGGATATAAACACAGATAAAGAGTGAAATGACAAGGACTCTCAAACATTGACATCACATAGGACATATATTGTTGGTATTGGACAGATCTAAAATGATGACAGGTCCAAAGTCATTGTTTTGGTCACAGGACCATGTGGCTTGCAGCCCTGAGCTATGCTATGCTCATATATATACAAAAGGGTAAGACATCCAGTGGTACCTCTAGTTTGTACCACATAATCCCTAACTTTCTACCTTATCATCTATGTATTATATCACCTCTCTAACCCAAAAGGAGAGACTTTACAAAAGAATAGAGCAACATGACAGACTTAATTGCTGCTGCACAAAATATTAACAGAGGTCTAGTATTTGTTGCTGCTGCACAAAAGCATCACATAGCACAACACAATGCATGTTTGTAGTATATGGTGGTCAAGGCTTTTTCATAGCTACTGCCTTCTTTGTAGCTGTTCCCTTCTTTGTAGGTGCTGCAATATGTTCAACTGCTTCCTTGGCCTTTGCACTCTTTCTATGAACCCTGGTTGCAGTAGTAGGTGGAACTGGCCTTGCTTCTGGCTGGTTGGTTGCAATGAAGGCAGAGTCAGGTAGAGGCCCTTGGTTAACATCTCTGGTGTTGGTTGCCTACAATTGAGTTAACATTGTTCATGAGGACAGTTTATTAGTGATGATGGATTGACAATTATCAATATAATTACCTCATTTTCCATTTGAGATAATATTGTCTCACTTATCTGGCTTAGGGTTAGAGGCTGTGAACCATCAAAGAACATGACAGTCTACAAAATATGCATAATTCAGTACATATGGAAGACACATCTATATGAAGGTGTAAGATGTCATTACCTGGGTAGCTATAGGTTCATCATACTCCATGTGTGATGGTCCAGGTTCATCCTCTGCATTGATGACACCTACAGTTCTTTTGGGAACCATCTCTAGTTTGGTGCCTGCCTTCCTGAGGGCACATCCTCTCTTGTTGTGTCCAGTTTCTCCACAGTAGGTGCAGGTCATTATAATCCCATGTTTTGATAGTCTGGGTCCATTGGGTCCTTGTATCTCACATGGCTGCTTCCTTCTAGACTTAGGAGGCCAGCCAACCTTCTTTTCATACACTGGAGGATGAATCTTGGTTGCACTGATCTTCTCCCATTCAGTGTTGTCCTTACATGGCCAAATGTTTTGCCCATATGCAATCAGGTAAGTGGTAGTTGAATAGCACTCTGGTATGACTGACTCTACTAGCACCCTTTCATGTCTAAGACAAGATATTGCATGAGAGCATGGGATACCTATCAAGTCCCACCTCCTACAGTCACATTTCTTACCATCAAGGTCAACTATGAAGGAGTAGTCTCTATCCTGCACCTGGAATATGCCTTGTCCGGCTGGCAAAGCATAGCAAGTGTTTGCCCATTCCATGTTTTCTGTAGCTTCTTCCTAATCTTAGGACATATAGCCCCATACCAGTCTTGTCCAACTTCTTTCTCCTTGTTATATAACCTGGTCATAAGCTTGCACTTCATTGTCTCCAACATACTAAGTACATGCATCTCCCTAGCTTCTAGAATGTAGTTATTGAAGACCTCACAAGCATTGTTCAATAGGATGTCACATTTAAGAAAAGTACTGAAAAAGGCCCTACACCAAGTCTGTGGTGGCATCTTCTCAAGCCAAGCAAATGCTCCCTGATCTAATGTCCTCATCTTATCCATGTTCTTGTTCCACTGGACCACTGAACTAGACCTAGCACAAGTCCACAACTGGTTTTTTAGATTCTCACCTTTGAAATGTTGTTGGAAGTTGCTGTACAGGTGCCTCACACAGAATCGATGCCAAGTATGAGTACCACATTACTACTTGATAACCATGCCAGGAGACCTACCATCAACTGATCCATATAATTCCTAGGTGTGGTCCTTGTCACAAACTGAATGTAGCCTTTTCTTCTCATTCCTTGGATACCCGATGTCCACTCTCTCCTTGACACTATACTCAGTGATAGCCCTCTTCAGTACCACCATAGAATCAAATACCATACCAACCTTGAATCTAGGAATGCTCATGTCACTATCTCTGAATGACTGAAACCTCATCCTAACTTCACCTTCCCCATCTGAGTTAGGTAAGTCTAGGTCCTCTCCTTCATCAGTTGTATCATCTGCATATGTGAACCTGACAGACTTCTTTCCTTTGCTAAACTTGTTGCCTGTAGCCACTCCTTCTGTAGCTCCCTCATCAACATTGTCAGTAAAGAGGTCATCATCCTCAACATCTACCTCATAATATGAATCCACAAAGTTAGGGTTATCTTCACCTCCACTGGTCTCACTCCCATTATCTGGATCCATTTCTTCACTTGCCCTCTTCAAGTCAGAGAAGAAATCTGGTAGCTTCTCATCCTCCTTGCATTGATTACTTTTTGTGGACTAAACACCTTTGGCAATGTTGCCACTGGATTAGCAACAATGTCATCCCAATTGAGTCCTGAAATGCAGTTATCATGATCTATGTAGAGTACGAAGTTCTCCACCTCATGAACCAGTGATTACATGACAATAATTTCAGTGTTTGAACTAACAATCCTAAGCCCATTTGACAAAGCCTTGCCTGGTAAAAGCCAATACACCTGTCGGTCTGGATTCTTGGGGTAATGTAGCTGACAAAGGAAGTCAACTATCCAAACTATCGACCAGGTATCCACCTCACAGTGATAAAAATGGCTGACCTTGCCACACATAAGATTTGTTCGAACCTTGACCAACAAAAAAACCCCCATGACGTAACTCCACTGCGAACTCTTCATCATCATCCCCTACATTACCGCAACAGATCAACGTCACTACCATATCGACGAAACAGAAATGAACAAACCCTAACTAACACAAACGATCGAACCCTACCCACATCATCAAACCCTAACCAATAGAAACTATCCAAAATGCAACTACGGACAGCGCCATCATCCAATATACTACCCCCTAATAAAAAACAGATTTTGACGGCACTTGACTCACCGTATTCAGGCGGCAGATCCGTCAGCCGCCGCACAGTGGCCACCATCGCGTAGGTTCACCGTGGCTACCGTGGGAATTAGCGCCTGGAGACCTCCCCTTCCGCCTCCACCGCCACGTAGCCTCGACTCCTGTCCGCAGATCTACCGTCCCTCCTCCGCGGGACTGTGCTCGCCTACGCCGCCGTCGCGATGCGGGAGGGGAGAGACAGAGGAAGAGAGAGGGGGAGGATTGGGGAATGAAAGGCGCATGGCTTTGAGGGGCCCATCTGCGAAAAAGGCGTGGCCGAGCGTGGTCACGGGTGTTGCACGTGCGATGACAATCACTTCAGCTGCCACGGTGGCCTGTCCACGTAGACAGAAAACATAAAACGAAGGGGTATGAACTCTTTATGCATCAATAATCAAGATTTTGGACTAAAATGGACTTTCAAAGCTGATGGACCAAATCGACACAACCTTACAAGTTAATGGACTATACGTGCATTTTACTTATAAAATTTTATCTAGATATATCCATGCAAAATTTTGTTTTAAAAAAATTATCGTAGAAGCACAACTGTGAAATTGGAATTTAATTTAGATGCTCACGTATGCTTTTTTTAAAATTCATGAAAATGCTTATCTATACAAAATAAATGTGTGAAAATAACGGCCTAAAAAGGCCCGCGAGCGGGTGCGCTCTCCCCGGGCTGGGCCGGCCGTCCGCCGCATTTTCCGTTCACGGTTGAAACCGCGTGCGTTTCTGTCTCACTCTCTCTGAGACTCCGACGACTGGAGGGCCACCGCCGCCGCCTCCGCTCTACTGCAGGTTGAGGCGGTTTCTTCGCTGGCGACGAGCACCACCAGGTATTCCCACCCCCTTCTCTTTCCTTCAAGCTGTGCAAAGCCGAGCACCCAAACCCTAACCTAAAGGTATTTGGGCATTTGATGCCTCCTAACTTCGAAAACCTTTTGCAACAATTATCGGGTAAACAATGTGTACATCCATGTCCCTTTGCTGAGTCCGCCCCTGCTCCCAACATGGTGAATGTGAAGGTTACGGATGTTGCTCTATGTCGTTTACATCTCCTAAAATGTTATTTATCTGCATTTCTTAATTGATTGTTCAAATGTCAAAAAGCCCCGATTTACTCTTCCATTCACTAGGTGTGTCCGATTATCCACACATGAGACTCCTAAATGCAAGTTTGTTCAATTGTATTTTGCCATTACTCAAGTACCGACATAGCTCTGATTAAGTGTCTGTAGCTCCATATCCATCTACCGTACCATTTCTGGTACACTTTTCGAATGAAAGTTTATCCAGTTAACCTCCCCAAATAATCTCTTCTATGTTGTATGAAATAGTCTGTTCAGAGCTTCAGATAATGCTTCGAATCCAAAAATATATGGCTGCATTAAAGCAATGTTCAAATAGCATCATAACTCTGCTAAACTTGCTTCATATTCTTAATGTGTGGCTCTTGCTGCCTAGGCATGCAAGATGTCTATGAGAATGCCAATAAAGGTGAAGATGAAAAAGAGGAGAGCTCCCACAGCAACACCAGCCCACTCTACTCAGGCGAAACGTCAAATAAAAAGCTCCGGTCGAAGGTGTGGGATGACTTCATACCCTCCTTTGTTGATGGGAAGGTGGCGCGGGCTGAGTGCAAGCACTGCCACCGGGTCTACAACTGCAGCAGCACCAATGGCACTGGCAGCCTGCTAAGGCACCAGGCCAATTGTAGCTCGGGGACTCACAAGAGGCCAAGGCAGCACGAACACACATCCTTGCCAGACCCAATGCAGAACAAGCTACCTTTCTTTCCATTCAACCAAAAGAAACACTCGGGCACAACAGATGCCTCACCTGAACAGGGGCTTACCTTGCCTGGTGTTCATACCAATGACACAAATACGAAGAACCAGGAGGTTGATCAGAATGGGTCTCATGACAAACTTGTGGTGCCTGAGCAGAAGAATCTTGCTTCACTCAAGCAGGTCATACCTACTGGCACTAATTGCAAGAATCAGGAGGTTAAACAGAATTTTTCTCATGAAGAAATTGTCAGGGTATTGTCCATACACGGACACAACCCAAGCATGATGGAACAAGATAGATTCAAGAAACTAGTTGCTTACTTGAATCCTATGGTCAAGATGCCATCCTTCTTGTATCTGAATACGCACTTTTGGAACTTGTGTCAGCAAGAAGAGTCCAAGCTCAAGGAGAAGTTAATAGCCTTGCGCAGCCGTGTTTGCTTGAGTGCTTACGTGTGGCGCTATGATCCACGTCCACACTTGGCATTCTTGTGCTTGACTGTTCACTACATCGATGACAAATGGGAGAAGCAACAAAAGATCATCAGATTTCATGCCGTGAATCCCTCTTGCAATGCAAAAGAACTGGGTGATATCATATGGGCGTCTATTATGAAATGGCATCTTGGTGGCAAGATTTTCAGCATTATACTAGATGATGCATTCATTGATGACACAGTGGCTTTGGATGTCAAAGCCAGTCTACAGAAACAGAACAAACTTTGTGCATACCGTAGCTTCTTTGTGGTACGTTATGCAACTCATGTACTTGATCAGGTTATTCAGGTGGGGTTGGATGAGCTGGACACATACATGGGGAAGTCGGCAAAGTTTTCCAAGTATACAACAGGCCCCACTCCTTCAGTAGTACAGTATTCTAACTGCAACTATGCACCTTCAACGAAAGACTGGAAACATGCAAAGAAAATTTGTAAGATCTTGCAGGATTTTCACAAACACATGGACTCCATGCACAGTTTTCCTAGTCCAACTAATTTTTTTGACAAGTTGTGGGATGTGAAGAAAGTGGTGCATCGCAAAGCTTTTATGTACACATCAAGGGAAGATGAAGCATTTTCTGAAGTGCGGGAAAAGATGAAAAGGAAATTCATGGAAACCTGGAGAGTCTGTTGCTTGCATTTTTTTATGCCAATGGTCATGGATCCTAAATACCGTCTGAGGCATGTCATGTCCCGTCTTCGTCTTGATTGTGACACTTTTGATGATGATATGGCTGATTATCTTCAAGAAGTGCTTGATACATTGGCCAGCCTCTTTAATGAGTACTCAAATCTGGTGGAAGACCATAACAGCACTTCTGGGGCTAAAACTAGCAAGGAAACTGTAGTGAGTGGAGATATGCTGATAAAGTATTTTTATCAATCTGAATATCCATACGGTGAGCGAACGTTGTCTGAATTGTATCAGTACTTGCAAGAGCCATGCCTGACAAGAGGTGACTCCAGTGTTCTCGAATGGTGGAAGGAGCATGACTTGACCTATCCTACAATTGCTCTAATGGCACGTGATATATTGGCACTACCCTGCAGTATTGATTGCAAGGTAGCTTCAAGGACTGCAATAATAGCAATTACAGAGTCACGAAGCAACTACTGGGTTGAAGAGCTTGTCTGTGTTCAGGATTGGCTCAAACCAGCTGGTAGACCTGTTCTTTTCATGCCTCTTTGTTTCATCCAATCTCATTCTTATTCTGACCAAAATTCTCATTTCTTTATAGGCACCACAGCTGTGGAGTCAAGCGATGATCTTTAGAAAGATTATTCCATTCTTCCTAATGTTCCATTCTTTAGAAGGGCAGGCCTGGTGCAGTGGTGAGAGCTGTCTCACTGAGTCACCAGGTCGTGGGTTCGAAGCAGCCTCTCCGCAGATTTTGCGGGGGAAAGGCTTGTCTTGGTTTATCCCTTCCCCAGACCCCACTCATGTGGGAGCCTCCGGCACTGGGTCTGCCCTTTTTTTTTTCCTAATGTTCCATGTAAGCTTGTTTCCTCATTTACATTAGTTTTTGCTGCTGCCCATGGCTCATTTGGTTGCCTCTCTGATGCAGGATTCGCGGATGACAGATCTTGTGACACTTTTGGTGGAATTTGAAGCGATTTTGTGATGCTAGACTAGGTTCTGTTGTGGTATTTTGGGGGTTTTATATGTACGAGTATTGTAGTGCTTGTCACATTGTCAGTAGTTCCCGCTAATTTCAGGCATTTGAGGGGGGGGGATATCAGATACTCTAACCTTAACGGCATGCTTTCTGACGCTGCATGGTCAAACTGTTCCTTTATGTTTAAATATTAACTCTCGTCTTAATGAAATACGTGCCCAGTCATGTGTTTAAAAAATGTTCAAATTACTCACTTGCATGCTCTTTTTTTTTTTGGGAGAACAGGAGGGGGCAACCCCCTACTGACTATATAATATATGGCAATAATATATATAAAAGATGCAAAAGAGTTACAAAGAGCCCAGCTATAGAATCAAGAGACAGGAGGCACTTGATTGCTCTTCAGTACTCGTACTTCGCTGATTCCTGCACCAGTTTGATTTGTTGGTCTCAAAAGTTCAGGTATTTTCTGAACAATAATGTAACCATCTCGGCTTCGCAGCATGCTACTAATCTGGCATTTCGCCACCTCCAGAATCTTGATTCAGCTGTAGCATCTTCTTCTGTTGTGTGTATTGTTCATCATTGGATCATATTGTTTTGATGATTCGAGGGGGGACATGACTTTTTTTTTTTGTATACACAACAAGGTGACAAGGACTCAAGGAGCAACTTTTTTTAAGCCGTCTGTGTCCCAGCATATATATATGTATATAAACCCCTCACAAGCAGCAGCTGAGGTGGGGTCGTTATCTCATGAGACGCTGCCTTCGGCAGCCGCGTCTTTCTCTCGAGGACCCATGACTCGATCCCGTGCGTGCGGACGCTGCCTATTCCCTGCGGAAATACTCGGACGCAGGCGTCCGTCCGTTCACGTGGCTTCCACTCTGCTTGTCCGTCTCTCTCCTGTCTCCCTCTCCATCTTCAGGTCTCTCGTGTCTTCCTTCCTCCTTCCTCCATCTAGGCCGACCATGCTGTCTACTCCATCAGTTCGTGCAGTGCACTCTTGGCCTCTTTATGCGTCGCCGCTGCTACCCCTACCGATGGCGGCTGGGCGCAGGTAAGGCTGGATAACGAGCTGGCTCGGCTCGTTCTGGCTCGTTAAGATAACGAGCTAGCTCGGCTAAACTCGTTATCATAACGAGCCAGAAAGTCAGTTCGGCTCGGCTCGTTAAAAGCTCGAGCGGGCTTGTTAAGCTCGCGAGTCAGGTATAAAAAATACACAAAATATAATATTTGCATTTATCTATAGTTTAAGAATAATAATAATATAAAAGAAATACATCTAGACCAGTTACCAGTCAATTTATAGGGTCTAGACCAGTTACCAGTCAATTGTAAAGTGCAAGACATGAAGTAATACAAAAACTAATACAAGTTTTGATACTTTTTTTTCTGAAAGCTTGGCACGTTTAGCTCGCGAGCGGCTCGCGAGCTGACTCGAGTTGGCTCGTTATAGCTACCGAGCTAAAATCTTGGCTCGGCTCAACTCGTTATCATAACGAGCCGAGCCGAGTCGAGTCGAGCCAGCCACGAGCCGAGCGAGCTAACGAGCTTCGAGTTTTTCGTCCAGCCTTAGGCACAGGTGTCGAGGCGTCTCATGTTGTCTCCAGCCGAGCCAATAGGCAACCATGAGCCTGGTCGGTGCTAGTGGTTCTCGTACGCCGTAGGCTCCCATCCTGATGGTCGGAATCGACCAGCCTCGTTCTATTTTTTCTATGTTGCAAATGTATGTTTTAATTGTTGCAAATATTTCAGAGGTATGTTGCAAGTGTTTTGTATATATATTGCAAATGTAAATCGAGGTATTGTATATGTTATAATGGCTATATATGTATGTTGCAAGCGTCTGTTTCAATTGTTTCATCTGTTTTTTCAGACTATGTTGCAAGTGTTTTTATTTAGATGTTGCGTATGTTTCACATATATGTTTGCAAGTGTTCTTGTCAGGATGTTGCATATGTTTTACAATGTCTTTTTAAGTGTTTTTGGAAGTGTTTCAGATGCATATTTTAAGTGTTTCATCTTTCTTCAGACGCATATTACAAAAGTTTTATCTGGATGTTTCAAAATAAATCAGGTATACATGTTGTAATGTGACTCATCTATCACAGCTGCTAGGACGCCGTGCATGCATGTGGGAAGCGGAGGGATAGAGTGTTTGTGCAGCTACGGGCATGGGAAGCGGCACAGGCGGTCCCCGTCTGGCGCGAGTGTGCAGCAGGCGCGGATGTCCGGACACGTGTCCGTCTAGACGTCCGGACGCTAGAACTGCCCTATTCCCTGCCCTTTCCTCTGTCCCATTCTCACAGCAGCAGAAGCACATAAACATTGTCAGGCGGTGGCCGGTGGTGCGGCCTGTCCCGCCCGGCCATAGCATCCGTTCCGCGGTACATGCGTGCTTTCGTGATGTGTTTGGACAAAAGGAGTTGATAGCAAGAATAGAAAGAAGTGTAGGGTTCAAGGTGAAAAGACACAATAAAATAAGTGCGTGTTCAGTTCCGCCCCAAAATCCCAAAAAATGCTACAGTATCTGTCACATCGAATGTTTGCGGCCTATGCATGGAGCATTAAATATAGACGAAAAAAAACTAATTGCACAGTTTGGTGGGAAATTGCGAGACGAACGTTTTGAGCCTAATTAGTCCATGTTTGAACACTAATTGCCAAATAAAAACGAACGTGCTACAGTAGCCCCAAATTCTAACTTCCTGGAACTAAACACGCGCTAAGAGAGAAATAAATAGTAAAAGTTCATCTTACGATTTACATAAAGTTTAGGGTTTCAATGGAAAGTAGTTTATTAGCTTCTTAGCAAATCAGCTGAAATTTATAAATCCATATAAAATCGATATCAGATATAAAAATTACGATTCAAAGTTTGTCAGATTCCTTTCAATGAAAACATATAGTAAATATAACCTAGAAGTGATAAAACACATGTTACACCTTTGATAGAATGAGCACACCGGCTGGGATTTTATAAAATCCAAATAAAATTGAGTTCAAATGCAAAAACTATGATTCAAAATTTTTTAGTTCCTTTAGACTAGAACTATAACCTAGAAGTGATGAAACACATGTTACACCTTGGATGTCTGCTATATTTTTTTTTTTTTTTGTGAAACCCTTAGAGGCCGTTTGAATCATTCATTTTGGAGGAATTGAAATATACTCAATGGATTATACTATTTGGCTTAGAATTTGACATTCCATAACTTTTCCAAGCTCACAAATAAGCCTATCTCAAATTTATAGGGTGGGAGATAGAAATGGATTCTATAGATCACTATGCTATTATTCTACTCTTCAACTTATAGCACACTCTTCAACTCACTTCCCTACAATAAAAATGCAACATACAAATATGCCCCTTTTTTGCCTAACAATATATATACAAATATATTCCATATACAACCATATTAGCTTAATTAACCTATGTCTAAATTGTAATTATTAGAATGAATTTAATTCAAGGATCCACACGGGCCCTTAGTGTGTTTGTTAGAAAATTATTGTGCTCAATAAATCCTGCAAAATTTACTTAAGTTACTCATATCAGTGTAACACTACATTTAAAAGCTTCACCACTAGCAAAGCTTTTGTCAGGGAGTAAAAAAAATGATCTAGTATTTCTTTTATGATATTCTTAGGTTGTGTATGAACGCCAAAAAATATGATTTTTTAGAGTAAGCTAATGTAATCTTATTATGATTTAGTGCACTATGGCAGCACTATAGAAACAAAGAAAGCTAAACAAAACTGATGTAATCCTATTATGTATTATTTGATTTTTGAAAAAAAATATTATATTAGTTTTTACTTTTATATATAACTATACTAATATATCATTTATATTGATCGTTCTATATAATATGGCAATCATGTTCATCTTATTTGCTTGATCTATTTTGTATCAACAAGCAATACAATGGTATATAAAAATTATATTTATGTTTGATCATAGATAAATGGAAGTATTAAACAATTTGCATACAGCTAAACAAACAGTCCATTATACAAGTTGTATTTTCAGTCGTCTATGTGTGAGTTGGAGAAAACTTACAGATAATTTGTTGTTTGTGGGTTATACATAACCCTAAGCTTCCATCTCATCTCTCTGATCCCAAATCATCCCATGCAAAACACAACTATACTTATCCCTGATTGGTGCCTCTCTTGTGCCATTGTTTGTAATGAGTGGAACAGACTACCTCTGTTTCTTAATGGTTTTTGGTAAAAAAAACGCACCGCTACTTGTTTTCCATGGTAAATCTTGCATTGGGATGATGTTTTCTTTAATCGCTTATTTCAACAGCGGGTGTAGAGAGATCAGGATATGAGTTTTTATAAGAGAGAACTACCTCTTTTAGCCTCAATTATGTAGACTAATATAACATTAATGCCAAAGAGTAAAAAAAGAGCTATTAGAATTCAATTATGTAGACTAATTTGCTTACTAAATGTGAGTTTCAGAATCTTCATGAAGGCTTCAACAAATAGGATCAACATAGTACCACTAAAGGTGGTATGGACATCATAGATGACCTTCCTACTTGGTAGAAACATTTGGAAGATGTCTCATTCCTTTGCGAAACAATTCATGAATTGAGTAGGAAAAAATTAAATGGGGGCATTTTTAAGCTTGATTTCGAGCCTATGATAAAGTGGTCCTTTTTTACCCCAACAAACCATGGAAACAAAAGGATTCTCATCTTTGTGGTTTTCATGGATCCATCAATTTGTCTCTGGGGTTAATGTTGCAGTAAAGGTGAATAATGATGTGGGTCCTTATTCTTAGATAAAAAAATGTTTATGATGCTACAGACATGGATTAATAGCTCAAAGGTTCCTGAATGTAGCATGTAATCTGCTCTCCCAATTTGACATCTGTAACAACTACCGCCTAGGATTCACAAATACGATATCGGTGCTTATCCAAAAAACAGGATTTTCCCACATCATATACGCTGCTTATAAGTTACAAGAAGGATAAGATGCTCAGGTTTGCTCTAGGTGCTTAAGATGTGCTAACAAGAAGATAAGCCTATTTAAACACACACAAGTTTCAGAATGTTGGATCTCGTGACATGCCCAAAACACATCTAAAGCAATGAAAGAACATCAGTTGTATCATCGGGTACATCATAGGCTGCGGATTCATTACCTCTAACCCTTGCGTCATGTTGGACATTTGATTTCCTCACAACGCAGGCGATCCTATCAATGACCTGGAGTAACTTTGCTTGTCAGGAGTGCCGAGGAGCACCCCTCCCCTTGTAGATAATAATGGCCATAAATTGACCACCTGCTGGTAAAATTTATACCTGCAATAGTGACCTCGTCATGGAATCGTTGAAGTCAACGCATGTAACAAGACCCCGATAAAAAGTCATCTAATTTTATCGATAGATTTAATTAGGCTAAACCTAAACAAACTAGATCTAAAGGGATGTTGTAAATGAGAGATGGGTCTTCTCTCCTTGCCATCGGTGAACTTGCCGGAGAGAAAGAAGGACAAGAGCCTTAGATAGCAGGGCGAGAGGGCCTGAAAGAGACGGCGGTGACTTAGGTAAGGCTGTTGAGAACCAAAGTTCAAAGTTATATACCTTGATATTAGGATGTCATGCAGAATTGTAGGCATGGCATGCATAATACCGTTGTGCTCGAAACTAAACTAAAGCTTAGGCGCTAGGACAAGGGCAAATATATCTTGTCCAACTCATTGATAGTGTGAGACTAGTCTAAATTTGTAATAATTAAAGAAAAAACACCAAACCTTAGTACACCCGCAATGGTATAAATCTGTTACTAGCTCCAAGACAACTTCTTCAATAGTGCTAGCTCTTAGCAATGACTCATAGTATAATTATGCCCACATGACAGTCTCACATGATCTTGGAATGTGTATGAGCCTAGCTCTTAATTAAGAACTAGCTTTTCTCTCTCTTCTGTTACAATATGAAAAAATGCTAAGAGCTAGCTTATGAGTCAACCATTGCGGGTGCCGCTCTGGTTTTGTGGTACTCCGATCGGCACCTACTTTGTATATGTACTATATATACCAAGGAGTAAAACAACTTTTTTTTTGCTTCAATAGCTCCGGCTTCCCTAGTGTGGTCCATCTGATGGTTGTGGGCCTCGCCCGTTGGTAGCAATAGCAACAACTAACATTTTCTTGCTTTCTTTTTTTTAGGGGAACTAACCTTTTCTTTTACAAGGAATAGCAACGACTAACTTGTGTTGGAGAGAGGAGAGCGAGGGATTTAACAGTTTTTGTACCCTTGAACGATGGAATTTAACTCGTTGTTGACCGGGTTTCCACAAATATATATTTATTGCATATTATCTACTTTTGCCTTATTGATCCTCAACACCTTGCCTTCAGAGAATCATGTTTCTGTTATTATCCTAATGTCTTACTAATCTCAGTTACATGGATGGTACCTCTACCCCTTGACAAACAAGTCACAAACCCTCTGAAGCTGCTAACCCCACTTTCGCAAACAAAGCTGGATCCTCATTTAGGTGATGCTGAAATTAAACATTAGCATTCTGGGCAAAAGGTCATGCATTTGTAGGACTTTCTGGAAAAGGTTTCTTTGCCTCTCCGTTAGACGTTGTCTTCTCTTTTATTGTTGCTGATATTCTTATGGCAGTGTTGTTGTAAGTGAGGTGTTGTTGATAGAGTTGTCGTAGTCGTTGTAGTTGTTAAGGTTTCTTTTGTAAGAGTGTGTTTGGATCCAGTGACTAAAATTTAGGAGGTGTCACATGAGGGTGTCGTATAGGGTGTTCGGATACTAATAAAAAAAAACAAATTACAGAATCCGTCAGTAATCCACGACACGAATTTATTAAGCCTAATAAATCCATTATTAGCATATGTTTACTGTAGCAACACATTGTCAAATCATGAACTAATTAGGCTTAAAAGATTTATCTCGCAAATTAGTCGCAAACTGTGCATTTAGTTTCATAATTAGTCTATATTTAATACTCCATACATGTGTCAAACATCCAATATGACAGCGACTGAAGTTTAGGAGGAGGAAACAAACACCCCCTAACCTCCTCTCGAGGCCATTGTTTGCTCATTCTTGAACTTCTTTTTTATCAATATAATGGGTAGCTTTTTTTTTCCCTAATTCGTTAAAAAAAGTAAACATCAGCCAAAGCCATCGAGGCACTACCATGATCCAACTTTATTGAACCATCTGGTACCGAATATTTACAATTGTCAAGTTTGAAATATGAAGCTATGATTTCGACCATAACTGCACAAGGCAAGACAAAAGGCCGTATATATACTCCAATCCAGACAGACGACGGAGAAGATAAGCCCCAGACTTCGGTCCACTCAGAGAACCTCTCGCTCGCCTGGTCCAACTCCAATCCAGCAAGGCGGGCAAACGAGACGAGACAACCATGGCGTCTCTAGCCCTCCGCCCCATCATACCGGCCACCGCCGCTTCATCCACGACCCTCGCGGTCGTGGTTGGCTCCCGCTCCCGCTCCCGCTCCCGCCACGCTGCCACACTCCACCGCGGCTTTCGCCCGCGGCGCCTCATCACCTGCAAGGCGGAGCCGAGCGGCGGCGACAGCACTCTGGAGCTGGCCGCAGGGGCCGCCGGGCTGGCATCGAGCGCGGTCGTGGCGTGGTCCCTCTACACGCTGAAGACGACGGGGTGCGGCCTCCCTCCAGGCCCCGGCGGCGCCCTCGGCGCGGCGGAGGGGGTCAGCTACCTCGTCGTGGTGGGCCTAGTCGGGTGGTCCGCCACCACCAAGGTGCGCACTGGGTCGGGCCTCCCGGCCGGCCCCTACGGGCTCCTCGGCGCCGCTGAGGGCGTTGCCTACCTCACCATCGCGGCCATTGCCGTTGTCTTCGGCCTGCAGTTCTTCCAGCAGGGGTCCATCCCGGGTCCGTTGCCATCAGAGCAGTGTTTTGGTTGACTCTGTAACTCATTCGGGTGATGTTTGTTACCGAGCGTGCGCTGCTATATACTACTCCGTATCTGTTTAACTTTTATTATTACTACCACATATGCATATCCGTCAGTGATTGTAAATTTGTAGTGTGTTTCAGTTGCTGTTTGGTTCCATGTGTGCGAGAGGCAATGTAAATGGGACAGCAAGAGCTTTGCCCGTAGAGAAAAAAACAAACAGAGAAAGGCGTAATTGCAAAGGAAAAAGGCCCACAAAACGTAGACACTGAAAAGGGACAAAGGAAAAAGGCCCCCGGTCCTGCCCCAAAACGTACACACTGAAAAGGGTCGCGCGACCAGGGTGACTAGTGAGACAGGTCCGAGGGGATAGTTTCGTGACATCGTTTCTAAAACTGTCATGTCATATATTTAATTAATTTTTTTCATTTATTGTTTTTAGAACTTTTACTTCTAAAGCTATTAACGAAAATTTTTGTTCCAATTTTATATATGATATCTTTTCGGTAGCTATAAGCACACCAACAACTAAGCACTGCATGTTGCATGCCTGGGGCTTCAGTACGTATTTTTATACATAAGCTTATCCCTTTCTGCAGTAGCATTACACGTCACTAACCTGCAGGTCTGCCGCTCAAATCATGTCATCTCGCACTGGATCGACGGGACCGCGCACGACCTCGACCCTTTAAAAATGTGTCCGAGTGACGCAAACCAAAAATCCTAAAAGCTAAGACTTTGACCCTCCAAAATACGTGAGGGCGAGACAAACCGAGAAACCTAAGGTCTCAAAAACTTCGATCTTCCAAAAAATACGCGAAGCCAAAACAAAAAGTCTAAGAGCTTAAAACTTTGACCCTCCAAAAAATATGTGAGGGTGAAGCAATCTAAAAAGCCAAAGGGCTCAAAACTTTGACCCCCAAAATATACACGAGGGTGGAGCAAATCAAAAAGCCTAAGGGTTCAAAACTACGACCCTTTGAAAATACGCGAGGGCAAGGCAAACGTTCGAAAAATTTGTTGTTAGTTTTCTCTTGTAGTGTGGGTTTTTATTCAATTATTTTCGCGCATAAGCATGTCGCACATGCCGAAAAGGGTGCCATAGCATGGTAAGGCTCCCCAAAATTAGCAATATACAATTAATGAGATCAAAACTAGGCAGCGGATGCAGAGCACCACCTGCATCTATTTTAATCTCTAAGTAAACAATGATTTGATAAGAGCTCATAGACTTCGCGTTGCCAAAAATATGAGCAAAAAAAGCAGAATGACTTGATAGAGCTCAGTAACTTCGCGTTGCCAAAATTACATGCAATAGAAGCAAAATGTGAATCTAAGTTTTGCAAACTTTGTTTTAATTAATTTCGCAAATCAACACCAGCATCATCAACTATCAGGGAGGGGCTCATTTCGTGACTCTGTGCCCCATCGCCTCAAAGGTGTAAGGGTCGGCGAGTAACCTAAAAGCGCCGAGGGGCCCATTTTGTGACTTCTAGCCTCCTCACCTCAAAAAGTATGGGGATTGATGCCAGACCGGTCTAAAAAGGGTTGAGGGGCTCATTTCACAACTCCCCATCCCTTCGCCTCAAAAGGTATGGGAGTCGAGGACAAAGTAATCTAAAAACATGAGGACTCATTTTGCGACTCCTCAACCCCCCCCCCCGCCGCCCCAAAAGGAATAGGGTGGCACCAAATTAAATCTAAAAAAGCTGAGGAGCTATTTTCAATGCCTCTAGCTCATTTTGCCCCATGAAACAGAACAAGATAAGACACCAAAGTATTCCATCAAAGCAATCTCTCCAAGAATTGCATCTTTCACTCAGCGATGGGATTCGACTCCAACTTTGACATCATTGGCTATGCCTTTGTCAAAACATCCCGCAAGGGCTTTGCCATCAGCTTCGGCGTAATCGACATCGGCTTCTCCACCAATTTAGAGCAGGGGATCGCCATCAACATCTTCGACTTCACCTTTGCCAACATTTTGGAGCGGAGGATTGCCATCGACATCTTTGACTTCGCCTTCACCGTCAACTGGAGTGGGGGATCTCCATCTATGAAATATGAGACATCAACCACGTCTACGTCATTTACTTCAAGCACGTGAAAGAATTTCTCACAAGCGCCAACCAACAAGAGGGACTGGCGAGGAGCGCATTGGACAAGCAATCCGCCCAAAAACAAAATGTTTTGCCAAGCGCCCGTGAGTGAAGGCTTGAAGACATGTCGTTATCATCTACAATTACCTCACCTATGTCAACTACTTTGCCTACTTCGACTACATTGATGTCGTCATCGAAGGCTCAATTATGAAAAGAAGGTATCTAGGGTGACTACTTTGCTTACTTCAAGAACATCAATGTCTTTGGCGAAGGTCCAATTATAAAAAGAAGGTATCTAGGGCTCAAGCCCATATGAAGGAGCAAGCTACCAAAGACAAGTTGTCGGTGTGAAAAGTGACCAACAAGTAAATATTTATAATTTTGCCATGCGTTGTGATCGGATGTGGCCTAGCACTCAATGAAACAGGATTTATACTGGTTCAGGCAACAGGCCCTACATCCAGTTGAGGTTAGTCGATGACTTTATTCTTGAGCCTAGGTGCTCGAAGTTTGCTATGAGGTTACAAACGAGTAAGGAATGAGAAGGGGTGTTAGAGGCCCGGTCGGACTCTGAACTGAGTGGAAGAGAGTGACGGATGCTCAAACGTGCGCTAGGTATTGGAATGTATGCTCTGTGTGTCTAAGTTTATCAGCTGTTGAGAGCGTGTAGATTGTGTAGCTGTCGACTCCTAGAGCTATTGAGCTGTCGAGTCGACCAGTCTTCGGGGGGGCTTTTAGGAGAGAGCTCAACCCCTTTTATAGTTGAAGGGGATGGCCTTACAAGTCGAGAGAAAAAGAGAGAGAGTGTATACGTGTGCTGCCTAGTCTTGTTGCCCACACCATCGGGTATGGGATGGCCATCGGCGCTCACAATACTGTTTATGTTCAGACACATCTAGCAGGCTCTACCGTGTTCGCCTAACATGACCTGATGGCACCGTTCTGCAGGTGCGCAGGGCATGGCAGGGTACAGTCCTTAGTATTGCAGTTGACTTGAGCGCCTTACCTTATCTGCTCCTCCTGCTCCCCGGGCCCACACCAAGTGGGTGTCCCCGGTCAATCATTCCCAGTCGGTCCCAACCGTGTCGGTCGGGAAAGAGCAACGAGCAGAGGTCCGACGTATCCTCGGTCGGAGAAGGCGGTTGGAGTCGGACTGTGGTCCCACCTTAGCCAGGCCTTCTGGTCGAGGACCGAATCATTGTCTCGGCCTATCATTATGTATCTAGGCTAGCCCAGGCGCGTGCTGTCGCTGCGTCGCCTGCTGGGCCAGGTTTTGCAGGGAAGCCGGTCCATTGGGGACCCCGGGTTTATGAACCCGACACAAGGTCTTGGAGGCTAGCCAAAGACTAGCTAAAGATAAAATCATCCATAGACTGTCTCTGTATAGACGAGAGGTACGTGTCGGGATTAAGTTGTAATTGGGCCACACTTAGCTGTATTCAGCTATTGGATTTTGTACTTTCAATCAAAACCGAATAGCTAAGGGGCTACTGTTGGGGGTGTATTATATGTTAGGGACTCCATTAGTGTTTCCAATGCGCAGTTACACAAGTTGGGGGCTTGTAAGATAATGTTTAGGGCACATTTGTAGCTTCTAGAGGCTCTTTTGTAAAATACAAGCTCACCAGAAGAAATAATGAAAACAACCCCTCTACCTTCATTATAAAAGAGAGAGGTGGAAGGTGGGGGATGAGTCTGGCCTCACACTCATTTAGCTCTCAGTATTTTCTCTTAGTACCACTGCCTTGGGAAATAATCGTTTTCCTAGTTTTAGTCTCTTATGAACAGAATAGGCCACTTCGCTAATCAAAGTTCAAGAAGGCGCTAGGCAGTTTCTAGGCGCTGACCCATGGCCTAGAGCCTAGGCTAGCCTAGGCGTTTCAAGGCATTTTTCTAGGCATTTTAATTTTTATACACATACATATATATTATCTTAAATTACCTTAAGTAAAAGAAGAAATAAGAGACTAACTATATACAAATCTATATACTACGTATATGTAAGTGACTAACTATGAATTAAACACTGACATGTGTGTGTAATTATTGTTGCTACAGTACCATCGAGGAGGTTATGAGAGGAGAAATGACAAATAAAAGTATATCTAATAGTTTCTTGTGAGAAAAAAGTACTTCTATGGGGCAGAATGTAAGAAATCAGTTAAGAGAATCAGAGTAAGGAAGTTACTAGGAGTTCTTACAAAAGTAAGGGACCAAATCATAAAACCGCCCTATCATCCTTATCTTGCAAGCCATCCTGAATCCTGAGCACATCTCTCTCTGTCTCTCGTGGGCTCTCCTTTCCCTTCCCTCCGTCTCCCACAGCCACACCGCCGTGCTCGAGCCGCTCCCCGTCGCCTGATGAGCTGCCTCCGCCATGCTCCCGCCTCCTCTGGAGCCTCTCTTCCTCCTCGGCGGTGGAGGTGAAGGTGCTCCCACCACCGTGTCCCTCCACGGGCCTCCTTGGGACGCTCGAGCAGCTCTCACCCAGGGTCATCGCTGTCGTGCCGCGCAGGAAGGGCGAGGACAGGACCAAAGGTGGAAGGAGGACAAGGAGACCGCGCGACAACGGATCTAGCGGCGTGGCACCCTCCCTCATGCAATGCGACTCTGGATCTATAGGGACATCGCCTATCCCTCTGCCTACCCCCATAGGCGAGGCGGCACCGCTCCGCCCAGCGCGTAAGCGCGCCTAGGCGAGCGCCTAGTAACGCCTTTTTGAACTTTGGCTAAAATTAGCCGCTTATAACCTTAGGGAGGCTATGATGTTGTTGTAGTCATTGATTTAGTGGCTTTCTTTCCATGGTTGACCTTATTAACCTAGAAGATCAACAACCAATTGAATTAGCCAAAATTTTAGCCTCATAATAAAAAGGTGCAGGGAATATTTAGACTAGTATCATAATAATATAATAACTAAATTTAGATCACGTACCTGTATCAATTCTTGGAATTATAAAACTATCAAAAGCATCCATGTGGATTTTTCCATGTGGACTGTAAGCTGTGCCATCAATGTTATCAGGAATGTTTAAATAAAAGTACTTCCTTTTAAAACTAACAGCCATGACATAACTGCATGTTTAAATAGCTCTTCGGCTCTATATCTATGGGTGAACACTTGGTAGACTTCTGAATGCCTTAGCAGCCTTAGGATCTTTTTAATTTTCATGGGCACCCCATTACATATCAAATAGTTGAGAATCTGTTTAGTTTCACTTCTGTTAACAGAATATAAGCATGCTTCTCCTAACTTTCTCTTCAAAGCAGTCAAATCTATAAAATTTGTATGATACTTGTCACCTAACTTAAGACAATAACGCATCTTAAGGCATATTTCACAGTAACAACTACATAGGAGCCTGAAAAACAATACAAAAAATGAAGAAATCGATTACACCATTGCAACAAGAGTCAACAACTTATCTTAATCTCAAATCAAAGGACAAAAAGCTTGGTGCAGAAATTGTAGAGGTGGCGTGCGAGAATGGGGCCGAGGTCGAGGCGTGGCTTCAACAGCCAGTGGTCGTCGGCCCCGCCATCGAGGAGGCCCTGTGGCAGTCCACTGCCCTTCCTCCAAATGACCATCAATGTCGCCCACCACAGGTCTAGGCTGTTCCATGACCCTTTAGAGGTGAGCAAGGTTACCATGATGGCGGTGGCCGTCAGGGCACAGGTGGAGGCCGAGGCGCAGAGGGCTGCCAAGGAGGCGGCGGTGACGACAGAGAAGCTAGAGAGCTCGATGGAGAAGTACATCATGGTGATGGTGGATAAGAAGCGGGCAACTGCAGCTCTACAGGTGGCTGGACTGGAGGCTACGAATGCTGAATTGGAGGCCAAGAGCTCAGAGCTAGAGATGAGCAAATTGGAGATGTATTTGAAAGTTTCCAGGGTGTCAGCAAGTCATGTCTTGTCCCAGAAGAGAGCATTGGAATCAAGCTTCGGCAAGAACAAGAAGAATAAAGTTTACAAGCAGGAGATGGAGGTGGAGCTTCATGGGCAATTGCAACAATTGGAGGCTATGCAATCCAGTGAGCACTAGTAGGAATATCCACTTCTATGATGATCAGCTTTCATCACTGAATGAGCCAAATTTATCATAATTTCAGTTTTATGATGAATTTATGACGAAAACTGGTTCGTCATAGAAGTCGTGTCACACTTGAAATTCTATGACGATTTTCACAAAATGTCATAGAACTGGCTTCATCTGTGATGAAAATAGAACGTTATAGAACTATTTTGGCACGCGTGGCAGCGGTGCTTCCGTTGGAGATGCTTTCCACATGTACATGTTATAGCCGGTTGCATTGAAGATGGTTCGGGTATGTGTCACCTTTTTATTGCACAACGTGGCCATCTCTGGTTCTTGCATGTTTCAGATTCTTACTGGACCACGTGTCGTGTTCCTATTGTTTCACATGTTAGTTTTCTATTGGCACACGTGTCATGTTGCGGTTGGATCACGTGTCACTTCTTCATTGGACCATGTGGCGTATTTTTATTGGTCCATGTGGCCGTTTCTTATTCGACCACGCGTCACGATACTGTTCGTTCACATTTCACATTTTTATTTAGCCACGTGGCTTGACAACATCCTTCCATGTGTTGGATTTTTAATAGCCCACGTGTCGTGCTCTGGCTATTTCATGTGTCATGCACTGGTTCCTCCACGTGTCACATTTTTATTTGATCACGTGGCCTGTTCTGGTTCTACCGCGTGGAGTACATTCAATTCATTATAGAAGTAATTCAAGATCATCACTACTGCATAGATTGACTACATAACAATTCAACCTGGCAATCAAATAACCACAATTAACATTTCACACGTCAGCAGCGAACCACTCACAGAGTATCACAACATCAAACCATCACATGCGTCCACACAATAGACCACAAATGTTCACCGCATCAAGCCGCATGAGTTGAAGACAGAGAGTTAATTAGTAGGAGAGCTTAAGCGCAAGACTAGCTCACTGAGCCTATTGTACTCCTCCTATTGTTGTTGCTCGAATTCCTCAAGCTCCCTTTCAACCTTTTCCGTCCTCACCTTCACTTCATCCACTAGTTCGATGAGCTTAGATGTACTTTCTTGTTCACCAGGAAGTTGCTCCCGAAGTGTCATCTCCGCTGATGTCTCTACTCTGGTGGAGCTTCTCAGGATACTAGCATTCTTCAAAAAAAGGTTTTTGCTGCTTGCCTGGGAGGGGTGCTTGCCCTGGTAGAGGCAGAGAACCTTGGAAACAACATCAACACTAGTCATTGGTTGCTGCCCATTAGCAACAGGTTCAGCTTGCATAGCTTCCATAGCTTTCTGTGAAATTTAATCAGTAAAACATTAGGTTACAGATAGTGGAAGAGGACTTCAACTGAAAACCCAAGAGATTAATTCATAATAAGTAATGCATAGGACTTCCTTAGACGACTGCTGATAGAGATTACATAAGCACAATGCATAGGTCTTGTGCAAGTCTACTGCCGATAGAGATTACATAAGCACAATCTATATGTACTATACTGAATGGTGTAAAATTGCAACTACAAAATTAAATGATGTTGCCACATTAGGCTCCTGCTGTGTTTCCTTCTTTTATGGCAATGGGTTCAGTAGATTTCAAGGAAAGCAAATGAAGGTACTTACAACTACTGCTCTTGTAGCATCGCTTAGGCCCTTTTTCGTACTGGTATGGAAGTTCTTAAAGACTTTCACAGCATTAACATCTTCATCAGGTCGACCATGTTGTTCAAGTCTTGGATCATCATGTTGTTCATCAAGTCCTTGATCGTGTTCTATGGCCTTCCTCTTGTTCTCCTTCTTTTCACATTGCACATGAGTTTCTGTTTATATATATACAATGGTAAGAGTAACAATAAAACACAACCATCACTTACAAATGTTTGTAGATGGACAACATAGAAGCGAGATCCTATAGACTGGTGGTACTTCACTTTTGCACGGTTTCGCTTGTTCATCTCAGATGTTTCCTATAGCTTCATTTGTGTTAGACTGCAGCACAAGTAGACCATAGCAAAACTTGACAGGAAATCGATGGGTTCACACACACACCTTGTTCTTAGCACTAGACCAAGTCTCAACAAGTTCACACCACTGTGCATCGCTCATGCAAGGGATAGGAGAGGTCATACGGATCTAATTAGCAGGGACGCCATTGAAGTAGGTTTGCTTCAACTTGTAGCATGCATGCCGTACCCCACACTACAATACATTCTAGCAAGCTTCTTGTGTTGGTGGGTGAGCCTTGTCAATGTCTAGCCTTGATTGCATGCAGTAGTGTCAATGAAAAGTAAATCCGTTAAAGTTGCTCAAAGCAGAGTTGAATGTCAAGAGAGGATACCCATACATACAGTTAGCCTCTCCACAAAATTCCTATAATGGACGACACTGGAGGGCTTCTTGTAATGTTTCTAATGTGTCAAAATTGGTATTCGATGCCTAACTACTACACCTATTTCTGAGGCAAACTTGGCAGCTTGCATTGGATCATGTGGCCTTCTGTTCTCCTCGGCAACAGAGATGGGCATCTTCAATCCTCCCATTGATTTGCTCATTTTGTCAAGCAAAATTCCACGAGTTCGAGGCCTCGGCTTCCTTGCACTTCTCAGCAATGGTACTACAAAGTTTTCATACATTCAGATTGTTAGAAAAGTAACATGGATATCGAATAGCTAGTGCAAAATGATTGATAGACATCTGTACGGTAATACCAACCTAGGCAACTTTCATTGTTCTACGGGTGGGTGGAGATGGGAGTTTGCTCAGAGGGCTCCTCTTTGGCATGGCTATGATTATCTGGCTGTGGGCAGTCGCTCATAGGGCTAGGTAGCTCAGAGGGCTCCTCTTCGGCATGGCTATCATCATCTGGCCGTGGGTAGTCTCTCACAGGGCTAGGTAGCTCAGAGGGCTTCTCTTTGGCATGGATATCATCATCTGGCCATGGGCACTCTCTCACAGGGGTAGGTAGGGAGCTGTCCTAACAAATGTCTCCAATTAATTCATGAAGTTTGAATTGATCCCTGGGTACAGGTATCCGTGGTGATGGAGAATTATTTTTGCCTACTGCTAATACCTCCACCCTTTTGCCAGCGGCAACCCTCCGAGTACGAACTCCATGAGCAAACTCACCTGGTCATGTTGAATTCATTCGCTTGGACTGCCTTCGCCCAGGACTCATGGCAGCGCTGCCTTTTGTCCTGCTGCCAGAGCCTCCTGTAACACCCCGGTGTTATGCCAGCATTTAGGCACTGTAAATCATGCATATCATGCATCATCAAGCATCCTAATCATACATGCCTAATCATGCAAATAATAACTGAAACACTGCTTCGAAACATACGAAACATGCTTGTGAAACGTAAATGATGCATACACTTGTTAGAGTTGTTTTACCCTGATTATGCTTGCTAGGTTAGTAGAACTTGTTTGGTTATGATTGTAAATCATCTAGAATTATTTAGTACAATTTTTGGAGCAAA